GTGCAGGTGATTAACCTTTCGGTTACTTGCAAGAGCAACCGACATAGATCGGTTGGTGCCGGATACCTTCTGGGCGAGTTGTGTCGCTACGTGAAGGGAACAGAATCCGTACGAGTGCCAGTTCAAGCTCTCGCCGGTCGTTGTGGCTGTGAATGAGGCACTGGCCTCGCTCCGAGAGGGCAAGGAGAAGGAGGCCTCAATTGCCGAGAAGCGACAACATGTATGCAAGCAGGGTGAGAATATGATCCACCAGCTGAAGGGCAAGCTGGAGCGAGGCGAGATCACAGAGCAGGAAATGCTCAGCAAATCCAAGGTTGTGGTACAGTGGCAGTCCAAGAAGGACTCGGAGCTGGACGTGGCTCTGGGAGACATGGAGTCGGAGATTTGCGGCAAGGTGGAGAACGCATGCAATTTCATTCTGGATGCCTGGAAAGCGATTGCTGCACCTGCATGCAGCCTGCTGACCATTCCGGAAAAGGACGACGACATCCTCATGGAGTTGGAGATGGGTCTTAATGGGACGTCTGAGAAGGACCAATTGGGTTTCAACCAGCTATGCCACCGCCCCGAGTCCCTCGAGCGATTCCTTAAGGCGAACACCCAAACCTGTAAGCCCTAGACCCTTAACTCCAAACCCCTAAACCCTTACCCAAAACTCGAGAATCCTAAAACAGTTATTTCTTCATAGTGTAGAACACCGATCCCGATCGCCACAACCCTGAATGAACCTTCTCGATATTTGATTGGCCCACGATGCATGAACGAACCCTCGTATCCGAAGCCTAGAGACCTGCCAGAGGAGCTGATGCAGCAGCCGTTGCAGGAGCAGTTGCAGACAGCTGCCTTGGATGAGGCCAGAGAGCTGTAGAGCCCCGTCTGTTTCCAATCCCCAAATTTAAAACCTTTTCTTTCGGTTTGAAAACTGAGTACGCTTCAGAGTCTGGATTCCTGCCTCTAACATTAATCGGCATTTAATCCAATCTCGAGAATCTGAGCGCCCGGGTTGATGCTCCAACACCCCAGCTGTACTCGGTCCAGAAAACTAACCTGACAAGCAACAGCACAAGCAGAACAACGACCAGGCGCCAGTTGCTGCGGTCCCCGCGACCGAGGCCACTGATCTAGATGCTGAGTCTCTATGTTAACTCTGGGGATCTCCAAATATTAATTATATATTAATGATTGCGAGATCTCCTAAACCTCAGCCCATACCGCCCTACCCAACTACCTTATCACCCTCGGGTTGTAATATGTTTGATCCTGTGCTTTAATCGATTCTCCAACCCGGCCTCCACATCAGAGGCGACTGATCTATGCTGAGTCTCTTTGATTCTAGATCTATGATAACTCAGGGGATCCACTAAGTCTGAAGCCCACACCACCCTACCTACGTTATACCCTACCTTATCCTCAGGTTGATGCTCCACAAGCCTAGCAGTACATTAGATCCCTGGTCTTAAATCTAAACCAACCTGACCCGCAGGACAAGCCGAACAACGGCCAGACGCAGACGAACGGATCGGTGCCACTTGCTGCGGCCCCCACACCAGAGGCCATGATCTATGCCGAGTCTCTATGATTCTATGATAACTCAGGGAAGCCACTAATTATAAATCACACTGAGTGTTCGACTTTGTGAAATCCCCAGCCCACACCAGGTTGATGCTCCACAAGCCTAGCAGTACATTAGATCCCTGGTTTCAAATCTAACCAATCACAGGACAAGCAGAACAACGACCAGACGCAGACGAACGGATCGGTGCCACTTGCTGCGGCCCCCACACCAGAGGCCACTGATCTATGCCGAGTCTCTATGATTCTATGATAACTCAGGGAAGCCACTAATTATAAAATCACACTCAGTGTTCGACTTTGTGAAATCCCCAACCCACACCACCCTACCTACATTATACCCTTCCTTATCCTCAGGTTGATGCTCCACAAGCCTAGCAGTACATTAGATCCCTGGATTTAAATCTAACCAACCTGACCCGCAGGACATGCAGAACAACGACCAGACGCAGACGGACGGATCGGTGCCACTTGCTGCGGCCCCCACACCAGAGGCCACTGATCTATATGCTGAGTATGATAACTCAGGGGATCCACTATTTCGTATAAAATCCTACTGAGTGTTCGACTTTGTGAAATCCTCAGCTCACACCACCCCACCTACCCTACCTTATCCTCAGGTTGATGCTCCTTAAGGCTAGCAGTACATTAGATCCCTGGTTTGCCGTAGGACAAGCAGAACAGCCACCAGACGCAGACGAACGGATCGGCAATCGAGGCCCAGGCCTAGTGTCTTAAATATTTGTCAGGATTTATGAGTCCCCCTATAACCCTAAACTATCTAAGTGCCGCCAAGCAGGACCCGAAAGTCGCCAAGCAGCAGCTGCATGAAGCAGCCGTGGTCGAGGCTCAGTCCTTGCAGCGAAGGGCGGGGGGAAATGGTTCCGTGAACAGAGCGATCGATTCTGGGCTCGTGGATGATGTGCTCAAGCATCCGGACAAGTACAACGTCCAGGAGACTAAGGTTGTAGTACTTGTACATGTCTGATCATTACTACATGTGCATCTAGCTCGCTTCCAGGAGGTGACGGTGCAACGCAAGGAGGGTGAGTCGGAAGACGAACACATCTTCGGAGTCGCACACAATATGTACATGAAGTTCAAGCGCAGCACCAACAGAACCTTGACTAGCACTAGCTCCTTATATGCGATGGTTAACATAAGCCAATCCAGAACACCTTCGTCCTTAAGGCAACAAGTGCCCTCCCGAAGTGATCGATGCCGTCCAGAAAACGAAGAAGGGTGGCTACTTGCACGCAAGAATCGCTGCAGTTATCTAGCTGATTGCTTATATTGGACCAACACTAGTACTTAGGTGCGAAGTTGGAGGACTTGTTCCTCGAGTTCCTCCGGTCATCCGGAGACTGGCTCAACAGCACCCTAGTGCTGCAAGCCAAGTCCGAAACGTCGCGGGAATTGAAGCATGAAGAATGCTACACCATGTATAAAGACCTTAAGAAGGTCCACGGGCCGGTAGTGGCGAAGAGTATCAGAGATGAAAAACGCCAGCTTCAAGAGAAGTTGGATGCCGAGCCAGACCCGTCCATCCTGCCGTGGATCCTTCCGCATCCGGATTTGCCAGGATCCGAAGCAGCTCGGCTGTTATTTTTTTACTAGATCTAGACCCCCTCTAGATCTTGTGCACATTAATCTTAGCTTGCTAGATGCCAGGAGCACGAACTCGTGCGAGTTTGGGAGTCGGCGAAAATCACGTCGAGCAGCAAGAACTCGACAGAGGCGACGATTCGTGCTGAGATGGACTTGACCGCGCAGCAAACTCGGGAGCTTCTGTTCCTTGCCTAAGATTTATAAAGGGTCCTGGGTACTCTAGATCTTTTGGGGGATAGATCCCTAAATCATAATTAGTGCTGTTACGAATTAATATTATTATAGAAACCCTACAATCTAGGATATAAGTCGTTCTTAGGACCCTTATAAATTTATGAACCCTAGGCCGAATCCTAAAACCATTCTCAAATCCTCCCACCCCAAACCCTAGGCCGAATCCTAAAACCATTCTCAAATCCTCCCACCCCAAACCCACGCTTATTGCATACAGGCCGGTGGCTATGCAGCTTGGGAACTTGCCCGATGGACCGTCGTCGTCCCGCCTGCCGACGCCAGCCGGCTTGATGACCCGGGGCTCAGCAGAGGATTTGGCTAAGGAGGCCGAGGAGTACAAGAAGCTTCGCAAGGCGGGCAAGGGCGGATTCGCCCAGCAGGTCAAAGGCAAGTGCAAGATTGGGGAAGGCAAGCTGGAGGAGCTCGCTGGACTCAAAGCCCAGCTTGCTGCGAAGCCGGCACACATGTTACTCGTCTCATTGATATAACATAACCAGACTAGGGGTGCCGATCAATAGTATACGCAGCCACAAACCCTAATCAGCTAAAGACCCTGAATCCTAAACCCTAAACCCACCGTAACCCCAAACCCAAACCATACAACCGAATCACCGTATCCACTCGCCATTTTAAACTAATTTGCAGGTCGGAGCCTCTGCAAGTTGGCTACACTGCCGAGCTGGAGCTGCACAGCAAGTCCTTGACGCAGGCTATGGAGATTCTGAAGGCACAGCAAGCCAAGGGAGTGATTTTTCGGGATTGTAATTATAAGGTAGTCGTTTATAATAATAATGTAGTGGGTGTGGTCGTCTGTTACAGGCGAGGGGTTTGTTGCTTCGACTAAACCCTAAACCCTAAACCCAACCCCTAAACCCCTAAACCCCTAAACCCCTAAACCCCTAAACCCCTAAACCCCAAACCCTAGACCCCAGACCCTAGACCCTAAACCCTAGCTCGTGGGGCTGTGGAGTTTCGGCTTCTGGTGGACTTAGGCTAGCATCGTCTCCGATTTACACATCGGGTTTCTTATTATATTATGAAAGTAAACCATATTCGGTTTATTACGCCGTATTATACCTAATCAGGTTTCCTGCTGATTCAGTTATATGGTCGAAGCCCAAGACCCGCAGCCTAAAACCCGAATCCTATACCATGGATCCAGAACAAACCTTAGCCCTAACATTCGCAAACTTCAGATGAAACACAACCCTGGGTCCAGACAGACTTTGTGCCCGGTTTTTGGTTATTAATGCAGAGTGTCCCCAAACTCCAGCCCCCAACAGCCTAAACCCTAAACCCTTAACGCAATTCATCCCAGGCCGATGATCTGGCCGAGGACCTTCCCGAGAAGCAGCAGGCCCAGCAGGCTGCCGTGGATGCCTTCAATGACAAAGTGAAGGCATACACCGATGCTGCATCCATGATAAAGAAGAAGCTAGTGCCCCAGCCCAATTCGATCTTTTCTGTGATTACTAGTATCATATGCCTTTCTCGTATGCAATTCAACGAGTGATCCGTGTCTGTGCACCCTAGGCAGATCCGAAGCCCAAAAGTGAGGCCAAAGCGAAAGCCAAGGGTAAGGCGAAGGGAAAAGCCAAGGCAAAAGCTGCCAAGTGATCCGATGCACACCGGCTTGTGCTACGATGGTCAGGTGTGCAAGCTAGGGGTGATCGGCTGCATACGACAAGGCTCCTGTTGCCAGGCATGCAACTACACTCTACGAGTATTTAGCATGGCCCTACAATAATGGTATTGTCAGGCCAGGCAACATGAGTTTGAGAGTAAGCAAGGGCGGTTTACTCGATGTGTGTGTCCTTGAGCTCCCTAGGGCCTGTACACATTTTGTGACCGATGCGAATATCGTGCGACTAGTGCGGGCCGATCCTGCACGCACGCGCCTCGCGACTGCCGTACGTGCGGTCTTTTCAAATCCATTTCGATCCGACTCGAAGCTACCTGCTGATCCTGGAGTCATGAAACAGAGTGCTTGCCATCAAAGCTTAAGCATGTACCTGTAGTAGTGCCAGCTACATGGATATCGATATCAACATCAAACCTAATTCTCCTACGCGACGCAGGTCTGTCGCAAAGCGATGTGGGCCCGCTCTGTCGTCATGTGCTGAAGTGCACCGGCAAAGGGGACCGGAGTTTTAAACCCAAAAACCCTAAACCCAAAAACCCTAAACCCCTAAAGCCCTAAACCCTAAACCCTAAACCCAAAAACCCTAAACCCTAAAACCCAAACCCTAAAGCGGAGTTTCAATTTTATTTGCAGACTAGCCACGATAAGCGCCAACCCCATGAAAAAAATCCAGTCGCAAATCCAGATCCTTGTCCAGGACCTCAGCTTTTGCGGGGCTGCGGAGATGCTGCGGCGTGGACACAAGGATGGGGCCGGGTTTATTTCGAGTATTGAACGTTGGGGTGCAGAGGAGTTTAGGGCTTATGGGGTTCTCTTATATTATACGGTATAGGTTGAAGGTTGATTGTCCGGGGTGCAGGAGATCAGGGCCAATGGCCAAAACTTGAGTTTGGGCCGGCTCGGGGACAAGCTTCGAAAAGCTGGTGCTGGTGGCCGGTACCCATCTAATGTGGAACGCGATGTATTGCGAGCGGCTACCAAGGCGTATGGTTGTGACGCATGACTTAAACATCGATCGTGTTATCAGTTATCACTCGAGACCCTGTGCATGTATAGTCGTGATCTGCATCATGACACTCAGGTTCCGATGTCTTGGGTTCGTGTGCCTATGCGGACCTCCTTTACGGATGCCACCGTGGTGTACAGGCACTGCTGTTGGGTGCGGTTAAGGGGTTACTTAAAACCACGCCCTCGAAGCTTGTAGCACTAAAGCTCAAAACCTCAAACCCTACAAACGCCTAAACCCTAAACTGGCTCCTAAACAACTCAAGGAAGATGCCAGTCATACTACCACATCATCTTATTCAATATCTACACGATGAAGGCATCAGTGATATTGATGAGACGGCTGCCCTCAACTACTGGCAGCATTGTGTGCAGCATACCGAGTGGGCTGCCACGCATCCGTGTACTACGTCTGCTGAACCATGCCTTCCGATCCCAACCTTCGCCTACGGGGACGATGTGAAATACAGCAATAATGAGAAGCTCACATGCATGTACATGGGGTTCATCCTGGATGCGAAGAAACATGCGATGCGGACGCACTTCCCTATGTTCGTGGTCAGGGAGGTGTACATGTGTACACGTACATGTATGGGTATTATTTAAACCACACCATAGCATGCGACCAAACCCTAAACCCTAAACCCTAAACCTTTAAACCCTAAACCCCAAAACCCTAAACCCTAAACTCTAAACCCTAAACCCGGGCTCGTCCTTGCTAAGTGGGAGGGAAAAAAACCCTAAACCCTAAACCCCAAACCCTAATAACTGTAATGAACCCTATAGGCCCTGAGCTGCGGCTTCGATACGATCCAGGCCTATCTGAAGCCTGTGCCCTGTCGTCAGCCAATATATATGCCAAGCCAAACCCTTTAAACTTATGATTATGCCTATAGTCGCTAGTTCCTTTTTTAATATTGGTTTAACCAAATCTATCCTAAAAGGCAACCCCAAAAAGGAACTAAAGACTATAGGTAAACCCCATCCAGACCAGCCCCCCAAAATCGATCTTAAAGGTGGTCGCATCAATGAATGCAGCTATGTACGGCTTGATGCCAGATGGCCCGCTGCTGTCCTCAGATGGCACTTTTCAGGATTGTGCCCTGTCGAAGCAGCCGCTGGTACAGCACAATGGTGTGCTTTGCAGGTTTCCTCTGTGTGAAGTTCGTGCGGATTGGAAATTCCACAAAGAGCTCATGGGCTTACAGGTTGGCTGGTCTTGCACTAACATTTGCCACCATTGCTACGCGACAAAAGACGAGCTCCTAGAAATTCCATCAACGCTGCCGTCAAAACCACGCAGAAGCCTCGCAAACTTTACAACAGACTGTGCTCAGCAGGCTCCGGGAACAAACAACAGTTTCTTGGCGCCGGCTGGGGATACGAATAAAATCCAAGGGTTTCGGAACCGTGGCGGCCTTAAAAAAAAACCCTAAACCCTAAACCCTAATAAACCCTAAACCCTAAACCCTAAACCGCACACACCAACCAAACCTGATTCAAGGCTGCCTACTGGATGTCGTTGGATTCCACCACACGATGCTGCGGTGGTGCAGCCTCCACAGCATCAATCTGGGAATACTTGTTTGGGCTGCTGGCGGATGCCTGGAGATGCTACTAAAGAAGGACCCCTAAACTTCCTAAACCCTGAACCCTAAAACGGCTTCAATCCCACATGTGCAATTACATAAACCATCCAGGGCTTTGGGTTTGGGGTTTAGGGTAATATTAGGTTAGTAGGGTTGCATGTGTATATATATATATACATACATATGTGGGTTCAAGGAGTCTGTATGGTTTCCTCATTATATTTGCCCTGGGCTCGAGGGTCTATGGGTTGGAGCTACCAAAGCCGAGAAGTTGAAAGCTGCCTTTGCTGACCTGTGCACATGGACCCGACGACACAAGATTGTGCACCTTGTGTCGTAATTAGTACATTATTACATACCAGAAAAAATAGCCCCCGCATTCTTCAAATGCCATATACACCCAAAATCCCGAGTCCGATGCTAGTCTTATAAGGCACTCGCAGCCGCTGTTCAAGCCGAAGTGTCTCCGCGGCCAGAACGGCGAGGTTGAGCTGGCAGCCAAGGCCTATAATGTGCCTTAGATGGCATTCGGGTAATAAGTCGCTTGACGAGTCGAGGCTAGGGGTTCTTGTAGGGTTTAGGGAGTGCTGTCGCAAGGCCCGGGTGATCATTAGCTGGTTGGGTGACCTCGTCACGGAGCTCATCCACACTGACGAGAGCTATCAGACAGAGGATTTCAGTTTGTTGGGACAGTGTCTGCATCTGGGCTGGCGATCAATAGGTACCACTGTATTTATTTAAAATTTGTTGAATCCAAAAGATGGGAAATGCAAGGTATTTCTTGTCTCAGCTCATGGGAGCTTTGGAAAGCAGCCCGCGCTGCCTGGACAGCTCACAAGCTGATCGCATTACATACTGCACTGATGCTGCTTTGGCCGGCTATGGATCTCTTGCTTCTAGATGCACGTCGATGGGACTGGGATACTTTCCGATTCGGCCGAAGTGCCACGTGCCCCTCCCAAATTAAGGTTTAAATGGTTGTGGGTATAATTAGTATATAAAATATGGGGGTTTCAGGGTCCTCATTCCAATCACCAGCAATGCAACCGAGGCCACGCAGGAATTGGCATACTTCGCGAGCCGGGAAAGCCGCCAAGCCGCTAAAAACCCTAAACCCTAAACCCTAAACCCTAACTAAAGCCACATGCCCGATCGTTCTGTGCTATCCAAGGAATCAACTGTAGATTTTACCACTTATGCTAAACCCCAAACCCCAAACCCTTTAGTACTAAAGCCACATGCCCGATCGTTCTGTGCTATCCAAGGAATCAGCTATAGATTTTACCACTTAGCTAAACCTAAATCCTAAACCCTAACTAAAGCCACATGCCCGATCGTTCTGTGCTATCCAAGGAATCAACTATAGATTTTACCACACCTTCATATCAGAAGATATGAACGGCCGCCTGGTCAGTGCCTCTGCCTGATTATATACAAGGCCTAGCCTAGCCCTGAGCCAACCCGAACCCGGAAACCTAACACCACAAATCGAAGCCTAGGCATCGCATCGAGAGCACATTCCAGAGCGCTGGAAAGATCGACTTTGCAACGGTACTACTTGTGGATACTCGGCCGCTATTTCGGAGGTTACTTTAATTTGTGGGGTCTAACCCGGGCCCAATCGATCCAAGGCTCGTTGCTGATCACGATGAAAGCGACGACGAGATGGGCGGGAACTGACCCCCTAGCTAGTATAGGCCCTAAAGCCCTATCCCCGCTTTAGTATATGTGTACGTATGGTTGAGGGCATTAGGAATAGGCGGGGGCTTCGTAGACTTAGATCCGAGTTTTGTCGGCTCGGGCTTTGCAGCTGCCGGCTGGAGCAACCTACGCCTCATACGTACTTGCCTTAGACCGCATGCATATATAAAAACCTACGAATGACGAACCGGCCGGCAATTCGTTCGCTAGCGCTCGACGAAGGGCACAGCGGCCAGGAAAAGTCGCGATCGAAGTCGCGGAGTGCAGCATTAATGGACCAGTAAGCTAGAATCCCTACCTAACCCTAATCTGGCTGAATCCCCTGAATCCTTGGCCTGATAACTTTAACCAACTTGAAGGTTCCAGGCTCTGGGACTGCTAGCCCTTCAAACCCATTAAACCCTAGAGCCTAAACCTTAAACCCCCTAAAACTCGAAATCAGAACCGAAGGTATGTATCGCAGTTGGGGAGCTTCGAGAGTGTTCGGTCTACCTTCCAACAAAACATAGGGACCCGACCTTAAAGCCCTAAGCGACCCCATGGACCCTGGCCCAAAACAACTCAAAGACCTTCAGGCCCACCGCTAAAAGTTTAAGGCACCATACCTGAGATCCCCCAGCCACAATAATCGTAAAACTCTCGAACTCTACGCCTTAAAGACCCGGAAGCACACCTTAACAAGCCGATTAGTATGTACGATCTGTCTGTGTGTGTGTGTGAATGCATATTTATACACATGCATGTTTTTTCTCTCAGTTTTTTTCCTCAGTTTTTTTGTTTTTTTGGCTCAAATACAATCCTGTGGAGTGCAGGCAAATATGCTTCCAGCAGCGGGTTGATCGTTCCTGCTATGCAAGCTGAAAAAATGCGCTGTATAGCCTCTTCATGGTCTCTGAAAAAACTTGTTCAGTCCTGATCTGAACCATGGTTTTGAGCCCTTTTGAATTTGTCCCAGCGGACACATTGTCCCCAGGGGACACATGGTCTCAGAGCCTACTCGGGAATCGTTTTATATTAACATCCTAATCCCTGAACGTAAGTGTTGCCCTGGTGCACACATGGGACCCTTTGGGTACAGGCGAGACAACGTCCCTGGGACGATGGCGACCGTATGGTCGACCGTGAGCCGCGTCATAGGACGTGAGGCTGAAAATGCTTACTGGCTACTGCACGAGAACGTGCCAGTGCTGGTAAACGCACGCAAGATGCGGC